GACTCCTTCCAAGAATTCTTTATAGGCCAAATAAGTACTTCACATGGTCTTATCATCACAGGGTTTCGCATTCGAAAACTCCTGTAGGTTACAGAGATAATTAATTAAATTAATTACCACCAGCTGTAATCGAACTGTTGACCTCGTCTGTGGAAGGTTAGGCGCCTAGACCACTAGGCTATGGGACCCTAACCCAAATTTTATATATTTAATTTAATATTTTTTAGTAGTATTTTTTTATGCTTAATTTATTTATTTTGCATGTTTTTATATTTATTTTACTTATTTTACATGGTTTATATCTAATTTAATTTAGTTTATTTTGGTTATTTTTATATTTTAATTTATTTTTAACTATGGCATTTTTAGTTATTTTATTTTATTTTACATAGTTTTATATTTATTTTTATATTTAATTATTTTATATACATATTTTTATTTTATTTTTTTTGGTGTTAAGGTAACCTCTATGGCCTGGGGACTTTTTATTAAGTAGATATATAACATATTACAGTTACAATGAGAGTACATATAGTCACATGTGCACCTTTTGAGTGCCTAATTTAAATAGTCTGCCCGAAGATTCTACACTATCTGCCGTATCTGTACCTCAACTAGGGGGGTATCCATTTAAACCCTCTGGTTACAATCGCTAGCTACATTCTACCTAACCAAGGTGTAACTCACTATTCGATGGTAGCTTTTGCGACACCTATAGATTTCGCACCCTACCTTAGGACTTACTAACCATTATTAGATTTATCAATCCCTTGTCTTAAGACTAACTAACCATACATGGCTAATCTATCCACGAGGTAAACCTAACAAAGTAGTCCATGTCTCACACATGTTTTTACCTGCATGTTTGGTAATTTCTTCCTAACTAGTACCTGTTGTACTGCCGTCACTGAGTTTGTATCTCAAGCCAACCTTTGGGGTGCTACCATAACCCGATCCATATCTCAAGCCACAACTTTTCTAATTAGTCGCCCATTATATACTTCTTGCCCTTGTAAGATTCCCAACAACCCCAGTATCTGCATTTGGAACCGTCTCCTTACTCGGATTCTTTATCGGTCCCTCCTTTACTTCTAGCTGGCAACCCGGATGGGTCAGTCTGCCCAGGCTTTAGGTGCCTGAAGGACGCCCTCTCTTTGGTCCATACTTTCGGAGCATATGCCCTTTTTCTCTGGTGCGACAATCTGGCGGTTCGGCTAGTGTGTCCTCCGCCATAGGACCTGGTTGCTCGGTTCTCCGATCTCGGGCCCTGGTTCGAATTCAGCCCTCCTGTGGTACCGTCGAAGATCATTGCTACATCCCAACTCAGGACTTGCCAAACGGGTTTTCGGTTATTCTGGTTCTTCAGATTTATTGCGCCAAAGCTCCCATTACTAGATGGTGTGACCAAGATTACAGATTAAGATTCAACCGATAATCGACAACTGTTAACCATACGCAGATCCATTTTTCAAAATCGTCGTCCGTGGGATTCGAACTCTAGACCTGCCGCTTGGGAGGGTAACAACTAACCAACTACACTAAGTCACTACACCTTCATTAATCCAAAGATACTTCCAATTTCTAATTGCAAACTTTGACTAAATTTTTTTTATGATTTTATCGCAATATATTTGAGGAGGTCGAATTGTATCTTTAAAATGTAACTCCTTAAACAATTTGAGTTTAAATTAAAAAATACTTGAATATTCAAATTTAGGCCAGTATATACTATAGTGTATCAGTCAAAAATTTTTAGTTTTTATAATAAACCAAAAATTTATATATATAATAAAAATTTTTTACTAAATAGTTAAAAAGAATAATTTTAGATGAAGTTTTTTCTTTATAGCTGTTTTCATTACTTCTGGGACACCTATAAAAAAATTAGCTAAAAAATTTTTTGGCCGGTAATTTTTTCGGCATAATAAATTCAATAAAAATTGATATAATACTATAATATATCAATATATGTAATTTAAAATTAGGTGGCTAATATAAATAAAAAATTATGCACATTTCTTGTTGAATTCAAAAAATATGATGTTTCAAACCACATTTGCTAGCAAATTATTGAAAAAAGTTTAAAAAGCCTATCAACTCGAAAAATTGCAAAACACTTAGGTGTTAGCAGGTCTTCTATAAGTTGGGTTCTTGTGCATTTTCAAAGATATGGTTGTATTGAAAAACTTCCATCACTTTTGGGAAAACCACGTTCTTTAAACATGAATGATATAAATTATCTTTAAGCTTTAATGAAAGAAAAACCTGACTGGTATTTGTATGAATTACAATCCGAGATAGAACTTTGGACATTAGTCTTACAACTTGGATATACGCACAAATTATACATATTTTTATTTTATAAGCTTTTAACAATTTTAATTTTATAGATTTCGAAACTCACAAAAGAAAGAAATGAAGTCAATAGAAACAGTTTCATTTTACGAATATTTCAGTATACACCAAGTCAGTTAGTTTTTTCAGACGAAACTGCTTATGACAGAAGAATATTATCTCGACGCTATGGCTGGAATTTTTCAGGATTGCGTGCTGTTGAACACCAGTGGTGCGTTTAGTAAACTTGAAAATAATAATTATATTAAATTTATTATTAAAGATACTAAGTTAAAAACCAAAAATATCAATTATAATATAAATTTATTATTTAATAACATTAAAGCCCAGAGTAACGCACTGGGAAAAAGACTATTAATTATAATAAAAATAATATAAAAAATAATTATTATATTAAATTTATTATTTAAAAATGTTAAAGTCTAGAGCAATATACTGAGTTTAAAATAATATAAAAATCAAGTTTTTATTTAATAACGTTGTGAGACCGGAAACGTGACCTGACCGCAGGCACGTGCGCCCATGACCCGGCTATGTCCAAATTCGGTTCTACCGACCGAAAATCGCAGAAATGTCATTTCTGGAGGAAGACAGAAATGGTAGAAACGGCGATTCTGGGATTAATGGTGATTCTGTAAATAATAGTGGTTTTGGGATTATTGGTTTTTCTATCTTTAAGGGCGTTTCTGGGAATATAGACAGTAATGGTAGAATAGGTGGATTTTCTAGATAGATTATTCATTATAAAATAAAGGCCTGTTGGCCCTTCGGGAAGAACAACACCCGATTTACTAAATAATAAAATACCTAAGTCATATAAACATGTCCTACTAACTACATACATTCTTTTATAAACCGCTCGCCCAAATCTAACACGCCTCTTTCGATTTCCGAATCCGACTTTTGTTGGTCGGTGACCCGATTGCTGCGGAACGATCGACCGATTTCAGCCTTCTCAACGTTAAAGCCCGGAGCAACGCACCGGGTTAAAGACTAGTCATTTAATATAGAACGCTGATCTGCAAAAGTTTACTATAAAAAAATCTTAATTTTTTTGAGTTTGACGCTATTGACTAAAAATGGAACCTTTATTTGGGGTTTGGTTATTAAAGAAATCCAATTTTCAAACTGAAGTGAATATTTCAAAGTAAACGAACGTATTGTATTAGTAAATAAGTTAGGCGAACACTGTTATTATTAGTATGAACAAAATAATGCCCATTGCACTTAAGGTATTAGAAATTCAAATGACTGTTCAATGCTTTAATGATTTCATAGTTAAAAAAGTGCATTATAAAAACCCTTCATTTTTATGATATGGAATTTCAAGAAACGAAATCTCCAAAAATTGATTATGTCTTTGTTTTTTTAATGTATATGATGTAAGTGGGAACAGAGCTAAAATTGATTTGGAATCCACTTAGATTGGAATGTAATAACTATACCTAAATCCAACCCTTACTCTAATTCTAACCTTAATAATTCTAAATCAGCTTAATTCCATTTCCATTTACAACATTTGTAAGCAATTAGCAACTTAATTTCATAAAGAATCCTGTTGATTTCCATTATCTAGTAAAATAAACTCAAAAAGAACTGACAACTAAAAAAAAAAAAGAGTGATAAAAAAATACATGCCAAATAAAAGCACTCTTTTATTAGCTTTGCTCACAACTCTAGCGACTGAATTCTATATATAAACCGAACTGTCATAACGATAGGTTAAACATTTAATTAAAGAGAATAATAAAATAGTAAAGCTTCAATTTTTTTTTTTTTTTTTATAAATTGTATAAAGGTTGCTGAAATAATATCATTGTTAATTAATACTTGCTAAATATTTTTACTATTCTGTAAATGCTTTTTTTTTCGAAAAGACTTGTCAGAATGATGTATTCATTGATAACAGCGTTTAAATATTAGTAGTTTTTATTATTAATAATTTCTTAACAAAGTGAAGAAACCTATTAGCAGTTAGTATGTGCGTACGTACGTACTAGTTTCTATTATACTTTAGTTGCGCTAATAACCGAATCAATTAACAAAATCAATAAACTTGTATTAACAAAGGCGGAATTTCGGAATTATTTTTAGAATTCTATTTTACACATAAATCGGAGTATAAAGATATTAAAGGATCGATCGTCTCATCTCATTTTAAAATGGTTAAAATTGATCTATATATGGATATATAGCAATAGATAAGCTTAATAAATTTACAGATTTGTAACATTCATTTAAGTTTTAAATTAATTCCTAAATTAGTACTATTTTCAAAAATTTACTGTTGTTTCAGTGTTATTGTCCATGAAAAAAATGGCTCAGTGAAATGGTTAAATATCTTTTAATGCGAATAAGGTTTGATAAATAGCTTACCTGTTACCTCTTACGTACGTACGTACGTATGTATGTGTAAAACTTCTGTAGTCTCAAAGCTACAGTAGTGAAGACATTACCTAGATTATTAAATTCAATTATTCAAATTGAGCAAACTAACTTATCATGATCACTTTATATATTTCAGTATTTAACAAGTACGCATCATTTAAATTATTCTAGCCTTATTTGGTGATGTTACGCCACTATCTGATTTGTTAGACAAAAGAAAAGAGTCATCTTCATCAAAAAATTTATGAGAAGACATTTTCGGAATAATTAAATTTGGCATAATTTGTCTTAGTTTGCAGTCAGAAATATCAAATACTAAGAAAGCGAAAAAAATTCACACTATCATTTATAGTTTTATCTTCATGTTTTTTTTGTTTTTTTTTTTACAAAAAATCATAAAATTTATATATATTATTATTTTTTAAGTATATATAATAAATATAGCATATTTGTGTAACATAATTATTTATACGTATCTATTATACAATTTTTACTAAAACGCACCTATGGTGTTTTACACCAATGTAAATTTGATAGTGAGTGGTGCTTTGAGTAAAAATATTTTACACCTCATAAACCCTCTTTAAATTTTAAATATATTCCTAAATTCTAAACATAGTGTGGAAAAGTTATACAAAACTTACAAAAATATATAAAAAATCTATAAAAATACATAACAGGTATAAACAGATAATAGGTGTGAAAACACCATAGATACGCTTTATAATAAATAATTAAAAGAAACTGCCACCATTGTTAAATGGGTCATCCCCGTTTCGCTCTCTTGACTGTCTAGCGATATAATCCTTTACCTTGGTTTTAAAGCCGACAGTAAAGTCGCATCCATCAAAAATTACACTTTCAATCTTGTAATCATCTCTTCTTTGACGAGAGTTCAGCTCTGTAGTTAGGTTGTTAAAGAAGTCACGCTCCTCAATAGAGAGATCACTTAAAATGTGCCTGATAATATCTTCAGTTTCTCTTTCATTAAGATTAAGATCCATCTGAGTGCAAATTTGTGTGAGAACTAGTTTTATGACTGCCTCAATTGTTAATCTGACCATCTTGGTGATTAGGAAAATCAAGAGAATGAAAATTTTTTTGCAATGTGCCTAAGAAAAATATACACGCTTTTTATTAATAAAAAACCTAATATACGCCGCAGTCGTGCTGATATTGAATATACTGTAAATTACTAAAATCATTTATATTTATTCATCTACTAATCTAATCCCAATTTTTATAATATAAAATTATTACGTACGTATTTTAGATTATTCCTTAAATAGTAATAAGTGTCGCTGATCATAATGAAATTGGGATTAGAAGGTTTCTATTGAACCCTCTAAAACCCACTTATATTTGTTTATTATAAACATTACCTAACCCTAACCCTAAAAATGTACCTCAAAAATTTTATTTTTCGGTGGCTTGTCTATTTTTTATATTGTACAATATTCATTTAATCCGATTTCATTTTAATCCGTCACAATATATATATTATAATATTGTAATTACTATTTTGATTATTTTACTTATAACGTAAAATGACAATGAAAATTTGTATTCTAGAAAAATCTGTGGATTGACTTAGACAAAATACAATCAATAATCCATAAATCATTTGATTGTTGTCAAAAGAAAGTCTGTAATATAATTTTAAATTTTAACTGTATCGGGACTTCTGAAAATTTAAAAGTATTTAAAATTGCTTAATCTGTTTCAATTATGCAATTCATATCACAATTTTCTAAGTCTAAATTCGGCATAATAGAACCTTAAGTTTTTGTATTTCCGAATTTTTCTCTTCGCAGCACTAAAATCGATTAATATCAATTTTGTACTTACAATCGCCAAGATCATGCAAGAGCAAAATTTCACAAATCGGTCAATACCGATAAGAAAAAGAAATCATCGAAGTATTAAAAGTGCAATGCATGCAAGGAAAATTATCTGTTATGCAAATTATAACCGACAGTACAAGAATATAACTATAGCTTATGTAAGCACAAAAGATTTTTAATACCGGCAAAAGTTTCGGTTGTAAAAATCCGATGTATCCTTTCATTCTGACAATACTAATTTGCCACATTCAAGACATCAAAGATGGTAAAAATTTTGCAGATCATTTACTAATAACATTGAATCTGATTGACATGTGTTAAAACCATTCATGACTTTAATTTAAAAAAAAAGAAAAAAAAAAAAAAAAAAAAGAAAATTATTGATTACAAGATGGTGACTTTAGACAGCATGACCACATTTCAGATACAAAAAATCCTTAAAAACTTACAAAATTAAAGCATATTTTTAGAGTTTATTAAAACACAATAGCAATAATATTACTATTAACAATATCCACATTATTTGAAAACTCCTCCCTTGCTCCATATGAATTTTATATACGTACAGTACGTACGTACGTATTTCATTGTGGATTAATAGATTTCAGTAATATATACTTTTCATTTTGTTTTCTATTTGTGTCACATGAATTATTCCGGTTTTCCGGAATAAAAAAAGCGAATAATCATTGTTGAACATTTTAGGCGCATAAAGTTGCTTTGTTATCCAATTATATACTTATAAAAAAAGTCATAAAATTATTAATTTCAATATAACCATTGTTTTATTGCATATATATGAGTGCTACCAAGGGAAAAAGGCCGTTCGGACTTTCAATTATATTTTGAGTACAGTTAGCTGTCTATGGAAATTTTATAGATTTTCCATAGACTGGTAACTGTACAAATATAATTGAAAGTCCGAACGGCCTTTTACCCTTTGCGGCACTCATATGTCATAAGTACAATTAGTTTAATTATCTTGATAGCGCATTTATGACAAATGATTTTGGTGCGCCACATAATTTCTGTCGATCTGTGATCAATTTAAAGACTGCTTGGTTTTAGTGTATGCCCCAAAAATGGGGTACGTTAAATTAGGGTGTTCAAATATCGGTAAATCAAACCATAATCGGGTACATATTCAAGGATTTTTAATGACTTTGGAAGTTTCTGAAAATTTAACTTTCACTTATTATTTTCTTTATTTATCAAACAACTCATTAAATATATTAGCTTCTATTTCTCCGTTTTTTATTACCTTATTTTTTATTATCTCGCTTATTTAAGTTTGAGTTTCTTTTATTTTTTTGTCCTGTAAGAAATTTTATCCAAATATTTCCATTATTTTTCCACATGTTTGCAACATGATCGACAAAATATAGGCAATCTGAATAATCTCCATGAATATGCAACATTTACGAAAAAAACATGGAATATAAAACACGGATCGACGATTTTCATAAGGTTGAAAAAATCTTAATGGTATTTCCATGTATATTGTGCCCCCTATGTACAGTAATATAGCTAATCAAAATTTAATTATATATTAGATTAAAAAAAACCTTAATAAAATAGTAAAAATTTTTTTATTTAACTAGTTTATAACTAGTTTAGTTAGAGCTCCAATCCATTATCCATTTATCCATGATATCAAATGGATGGATAATCGGATTATCCGATAAATTATTCGGATTAATGAAGGAGCAAGTATTAATACAAGGAGTGCATATTTAACGATTGATCTAACGGCTGATCTAACAGTTAATTTAATGGGAATCCTTATGCCAAGAAAATCCCGAGCTGCAGATCACTTCTGGTTTGTTTCCAGATAGGGCTGTCCATTTTATGCGCCAACAAACCCCAAAATATGTATGCGCTACCTGTCTATTTGTTGTGAAATTATGTAATAAATTTTTGAAATATATGCGACAAAATATGCGAACAAAGTAGAAATATGCAGAAATATGCGGCAACTTATATGTGATCAGAATTCTAAAATACACTTGAATATTATCATTATGTGTACATACGTACGTACGTACGTAGCTAATTTAAAATAAAAAAATCGGATATTATTTATAGGGTTATGTAATTTAACCCATCTGATCAACCAATCAGATCATAAGATCAGGTGTAACTAGGGTACGGAATTGGCGGGCCCATATTTTTAGGCCCGTGATTATTGCGGTCCGGGTTCGGGCTAAGCCTGTTAAGATACCAGGTCGGGTCGGGCTTTACAAAAAAGCCCGCGGGTACCCGGCAAGCCTCTCTAAGTGCACACCCTTGGGACCACACATTAACAATGTGCATATAAAGAATAATAAGAAAAAGTGCATTTATGGAGGTCAACTATATATTTGGGCCGGCGCTTGAGCGTGCACTTAGAGAGGTCTGACTGTAGTTCTTCTTTTTTTTTTTCGACTTTAAAACATCATTGGTATTCTTTATTTTTTTTGCGATTTTATAAATTAATTTTTTTTTTTTTTATCTAACATAAGTGTGCAAATTACCGTATTTTCGCGGAATAACGCCCAGGGGTGTAATTTCGAATTTTGGCCTAAATTAAGCTTAATTCGGGCCAAATTCGAAATTACACCCCTGCGCGTTATTCTGCGGTAAGAGTTTAGATAACCCTATCGACCTCTAATAGAGAACCAATTTTTTAATAAAGTTAATAAAAAAAAATTAAAATATATTTTTTTTAAAAAAAAATAATTAAGAAAATGGAAGAGAACAATATTTACGGTATCACTTCATTTTTAGTTATTAATTCAAACTGTCAAATTATTAGGTCAACGTATTAGATAAATTTAAAGATCAGTATAATGTAACAAAAATAAAATCTAAATATTTTCTTTATGAAAATAATGAGTTCATGAATAAATAATGATAATTTAGCTCTTTGAGTTATCTTCATTCGAAAATAGTAAAGTAAAAAAGTATCATTTAAGTAAGAATATGTTGAACATAAAGAACGACAGGTTGTTTACTTTGCTTAATGTCATTATAATATACTAGAGGAATATTTATATGGTATTCGCTATTTTAATTTTAAAATTAAAAGTTTTTATTTTTTTATATAAATATTTGTTTAGTTATTAATATTAAAAGGCAACTTTTGAATTTATAAGTTTTTAAATTATAACTTCAGGTATTTTTTTTTAATAGTTTATGACAGTCAAGTCTTATGCTGGGAATATAGTCAGACGGTGATTGAAATTAGTGACTTAACCTGTCACAGATTACGGACATGCCGTAAAATCGAGACATGCGCTAACAAATTTGCAAATTAAAATTCATATAAATTACTGCATTTTTTATTGATCATTCACGTGATTGCCAATCTGTAATTACTTGCTTATCCGCATGAATGTCTTTTGTGAGCCCCGAAATCCGAACCACCTACTGCGGCTCCATACGACCTACGATCATGGGGTCAAGTGCAATATGAATATCGCATTTGTTCAATTTATCAGATTTAACGAATTTAACCAACTTATCTGATTTATCAAATTTATCCATTTTTAATGAATTTATCATTTTACCTGATTTAACCTATTTACCTGATAAATTCGTTTTTTTGCATTTATTGAATTTGTTGTAATACCGAATCTTTAATTATAAATAAAGGCCGTGAAGGCCCTATAAACTGATAAGTTTCGTGCTGCTTACAATAATCGTCCCTAAATAAAATTACCCAATTGACTCATTATAACCCTTAAGCATCTAAAAAATACACTCTAACTAGTAACAGAATTTTCACGAAATCACAATAGTTTCAATTCAGCTTACTTCAATGTGTTACTAATAACCTTAACCACTGCATTTTATATTGGTAAACAATTTCTGTTGCATAATTTTTAACAATAACTCACAACAGACTTCAACTACATACTGTGTTTCGCTGTAATAGCAAGTTTTGCAATAGAATTTTTTACAGTGATTCGTGATAATTCAATGCAAACTAATTCGACTTTAAGCATATACCGAAATAGCAAGTGTTCCATAACAAGATGATTTTTGGCAATAACTCAACATTAACTGCATACTATATACTGGAATTTCGAGTAGGTTTTGTATTGGAATTTTATACAGTAATATCAACTCAACTTTAAATACTCTGAAATAATGAGCATGATCCATACCAATTTTTTACATCAGCTCATACAGTAGCAGAAATCATGAAAATTCCAGTAAGTTCTGTAACGCTTAATAAA